TGTTCTATTTTATTTTATTTTTTAATGTCCTGTCCTAGGGTTCCAAATGTCCTCTGTTTAATTCAACAGTTTATTATTACAAGTAATAGTTGCAGTCCCCATAGGATATCAGCAGCTGGCTAGCTCCAAATCTCTCTATGCATCCTCCAAAGATCATGCAGTTCCACAGGAGAAAGAAGGAACCAAAAATACTGATTACTGGGACTTCCCTGGTGGTCCAGTGGGTAAGACTCTGTGCACCCAATGCAGGGGACCTGGGTTCAATCCCTGGTTGGGGAACTAGATCGCACATGCATATGCATGCCACAACTAATAGTATGCGTGCTGCAACTAAAAAAAAAAAGGATCCCGTGTGCCACAAGAAGATCCCACATGCCTCAACTAAGACCTGGCACAGCCTAAATAAACAAATATTTTTTAAAAAAACTCATTACTCATGCTTAGAGCGTAATTAGGAGACAGAAAATACTACAGACTTTGGTGGTAAAGTGCTACCACCTGGTCTCTGCTGTTCTGAAATCCCATTATATCCACATCAACACTAGGGAGCTCCGTTCCGAAGCAGCCTTCCCTCCCCTCCCGTCAACCCTGCCTGCAAAGGACAGCTCACCACTGCCTTCCTCAGCCAGGGAGAGGCTTGGTAATTATGATACAACAGCATGTGCGCTTTATCACCAACACACTTAGCACTAACAAATATATACAACTGCAGGTACTTCGAAAAAAATCCACCATGTCGGCAAACTACTAGCTAACTTAAGAGAAAAAAGGAGAAAGAACAAACACAAGAAAGAGAAGTAAGGGCTTCCCTGGTGGCGCAGTGGGTGAGAGTCCGCCTGCCGATGCAGGGGACACGGGTTCGTGCCCCGGTCCGGGAAGATCCCACATGCCACGGAGCGGCTGGGCCCGTGAGCCATGGCCGCTGAGCCTGCGCTCCACAACGGGAGAGGCCACAACAGTGAGAGGCCCGCATACCGCAAAAAAAAAAGAGAAGGAAAAGGAGGAGGAGGAGGAAGAAAAAGAGAAAGAAAAAAGGGAGAAAAAATAGGGAGTGGGGAGAGAGAGAGGAGAGAGAAATTATAGGGAGAAATTATTAACCAGTGGGGGACAATGAATAATAACAGACTGCTTTAGAGAACTGTGCAAGTAAATGTGAACACTGAGACAACATGACTAATTTCTAAAAACATAAAATTTACAAAAATTGATGCCATTAGAGGTAGAAAGCTTAAGTACACCAATTTCCACACAACAAAAAGAGAAAGTTATGAAAGAACTTTTCCACAAAGCAGCATCAAGTCCATATGGTTTTGCAGAGGAAATCTACAAATTTTCAAAGGTCAGATAATCCTAATGCTATTTAAATTGTTCAAAGCATACATAAATAAATTAATAAAACCAGGAAAACTTACAAATTATTTTTATGAAGCAAGAGTCACATCAATACCTAAACCTGATAACACACCAACAAACCCTGCAAATCCATCTTATTTATGAATATACACGCAAAAATCCCAAATAAAGTGAAATAAAATGTTGTCAAACACAATTAATGACCCATTAAAAAATAATATGAAGTGACCAAGTGGGACTCGTTCTGGGAATAGAAGCATGGCTTGATATCACGAAAAATCATCAGCATAATTCTCTATGTTAATAGGTCTAAGAAGAAACAATCCGATGGCTATGTACCAGACACAGAAAGCACACACTGCCTGATTCCATTTATATGAAATTCCAAAAAATGCAAACTAACCTATGGTGACAGAAAGCAGATCACTGGTTGCCTGGAGCCCAGGGGTGGAGAGATTGATTGATTGCACAGGGAGTACAAGGAAACTTCTGGGGGGTGATGGAAATGTTCTATACCTTGATTGTAGACATGGTTTCTCAGGTGTACATATCTGTGAAAATTCATAGAATTGTATACTTGAAATGGGTGCAGTTTCTTGTATGTAAATTATACCTCAATAAAGTTGAAAAATATTTTAAAAATCAATAGCCTTTACTAGCTACACTCTGGGGGACAACATCTGTGATGCACATACCTAACAAAGGACTTGGATTCTGAATATATATGTACATACACAAACATTCAGAATATAAGTTCTGAGTGTGTGTATGTATATTCAATATATGAATCAGTAAGAATAGGATAAACAATTCAATGTAAATTGGCAAAATATTTGAATAGCAACTTCACAGGAGGACATCCAAATGGCCAATAAGCTCATGAAAAAGTGCTCAATATTACTTATCACAAAAATGCAAATTAAAATCCAATGAATAGTCTTCTCACCTCACACTGGTCAGAATGGCCATCATCAAAAAATCTACAAACAGTAAATGCTGAGAGGGTGTGGAGAAAAGGGAACTCTCTTGCACTGTTGGTGGGAATGTAAATTGATACAGTCACTATGGAGAACAGTATGGAGTTTCCTTAAAAAACTAAAAATAGAACTACCATATGACCCAGCAATCCCACTACTGGGCATATACCCTGAGAAAACCATAATTCACAAAGAGTCATGTACCACAATGTTCATTGCAGCACTATATACAATAGCCAGGACATGGAAGCAACCTAAGTGTCCATTGACAGATGAATGGATAAAGAAGATGTGGCACACATATACAATGGAATATTACTCGGCCATAAAAAGAAACAAAATTAAGTTATTTGTAGTGAGATGGATGGACCTAGAGTCTGTCATACAGAGTGAAGTAAGTCAGAAAGAGAAAAACAAATACTGTATGCTAACACATATATATGGAATATTTTAAAAAAATGGTTCTGAAGAACCTAGGGGCAGGACAGGAATAAAGACGCAGATGTAGAGGATGGACTTGAGGACATGGGGAGGGGGAAGGGTAAGCTGGGACGGAGTGAAAGAGTAGTACTGACATATATACACTACCAAATGTAAAATAGATAGCTAGTGGGAAGCAGCTGCATAGCACAGGGAGATCAGCTTGGTGCTTTGTGACCACCTAGAGGGGTGGGATAGGGAGGGTGGGAGGGAGATGCAAGAGGGAGGGGACATGGGGATATATGTTTACATATAACTGATTCACTTTGTTATACAGCAGAAACTAACACAAAATTGTAAAGCAATTATACTCCAATAAAGATGTTAAAAAAAAACACAATGAGTTACCACTACACACCCAACAGAATGGCTAAAATTAAAGAGACTGACAATACCAAGTGTTGGTGAGGGTGTAGAGCAGCTGGAACTCTCATACATTTCTGGTGGGTGTGTAAAATGGCATAGCCACTTTGTAAAATTGTTTGGCAGCTTCTCATAAAAACAAGCATGCATCTACCCTATAACCCACCAATTCTATTCCTAGGTATATATCCAAGAGTAATGAGTATTTGTCCACAAATATATAAGAATGTGCATAAGAGCTTTCTTCATCATAGCCAAACAGTGGAAGCAACCCAAATACCATCAGTAAGAGAATGGATAAGGAAGCCATGGTATATAAAGGAATAATATTCAGCAATAAAATGAAAAAAAAAAACTACTTCCACATGCAAGCACATAGATAAATCTCAAAAACACTATGTTGATCAAAAGAAGCCAGACAGGGCTTCCCTGGTGGCGCAGTGGTTGGGGGTCCGCCTGCCGATGCAGGGGACG